TGCTCCTGATGTTTGGAACGTGGAGATGTCAACTTGGAAAGAAAAAGACTTCAGAATATTTCTGAACCAGACAATCTCTGAAAACAACTGTTCCACACATCATGAGACAGCTATCGTTGGCACCTTACACTCACATAACATCTTTTTCTGCCTCCACCAGGAAAAGTTCCAGCCTTTTTGTCCCTCACCACCCCCCATCTCTTTCTGTTCCTCTTCCATTCCAATTATCTCGAGTGTAGATCTGCATCGGGGCAGAGGCTCTGAATATTTCATAACGCTCATTAAGCCACCTATACTGTTGCTACTACAGCACCACATGAGTTTTCAATCTGAAGTATCAGCCTGGTCTGTGGATGCAGACATTTAACACTTAAAGGAGCGCTGCAACACTTGGAGCCAGAGTCTGTGCAGTTGCCACGGTAGCAAGGTCACAGTGCTCAACCAGTTGTAACAGTCAATCTCAGCTGTCACTCATGATGTTTCAGCACTTTATACAATGAGCAAAAATAGCATCTTTTCATCATTTGCCTCGTCGAATCGTTAGAATTTTTGGTTTGGTCCAAATCCTGTCCACTAACATGGAGGAGGCAGGGTATATTACCCACATTTCAGTCAGCCACCAGGTGGCTATTGAGATGTTTTGGCTTCACTTTTGGGGTGTAGTCATAAGGTCCATCTTTATGTACAGTCTATGGTGCTAAATCTCAACGTCAGCATGACAGAATTTAGGCGAAGAGTAAATTTAATTGTGAATAAAAACCAATGATAAAAAAACTGTGCAGTGATAGTGGTGAAAAGTCAGTGTCTGACATTAGTTCCACAGCATTTCATTTAGTTGTTCTTCAAGGGGATAACACAGTGAAAAGAAATATCCATTTTGTTAAATAGAAGTCTGAATGAGCCATCAGTGCATAATTGAGTCCATGAATAGAAGTTTAATGAATGGAAAATTATCAGTCATTACTCCACCTTAATAAGTCATTTAATCCATAATAAAACACCAGTCTTCATTCTGCTGCAAAGCCATAATGTGTGATGGCACGACAAACAACACTGATTAATAAAATCTGCATCTGCACAACGTTCATTGTGTATTTTGTGTGTACAGAGAGAGGGAGTTTTCTGTACACACACCTTCCTCACATTAATATACGTGGGAGCAACCCAGAGAAACACCAAGTTTACTTCACTGGAGCAATTGGGGGTTAATTGCTGTGCTCAAAGGCTCCCTGAGTGGTAGCTGCTGAGTGGGAGCGACCATTACTCATTTAACACAGAGGATTCCCCACGAGGTGTAAAGATTCCAACTGGCAAATTTCCACACACTTCACCAACCTTTGGGCTACATTCACTTTTACAGGGTGTATGAATTAAATACATTCAGTACCCCACCCATACCCTTATCTTCTCTGGCAAGATTTAAAAATTATGCAGCACATTAAAGCTTTGTATTATTCACAGGGATTCCGAGGCTTGTATCTTTTTAACTACCTTTTAGAAACCACCAAATTATTGTAAAATTGTAAAGAATGAATAAACGTGCATTCACTGACATTAACCTTAGCTTTAAAAATTCCCCAGACCCAGTTAATTTTTAGCGGCCAGCAACCGTGTAAAACACAGATTAAATGACTGTCTCATCACTTGGATTATTTCTTTATTATTTTGTTTCACCATATCGGACTGAGACACAGCTGCTGATCTCCGTCATGGCAACACCATACATCTAATCCTGGTTTGCAATTTCTCAACATTTGTTTTTTTGCTGCAATGCTTTATGCTGAGTGGGTTTACAGAGCTTTTATTTTGAAAAGTTGCAAACATTACTCTGAAATAGCCAACATGCAATATATGACTAAAAATCCAAGCAGCTTAGTAAATCATTCAAACGTTCATATAAGCCACACATGTGAACAGGAATAAAGCAAATTCAGTTTCATTTTATGAAGAGCATTGACTCCTAAATCTGCACTGCAGATAAACCAGGTAGGATGACTGTTTATAAAAGGCTCTGCACACAAACAATAAAAAGTGAAACAAAGAATATTGTGGAACAGTTTGAGGAGGACTCACTAATGATAAGGAATAATTCTGAAGTAGCCCCAGAGCTTTAACACAGGACATGAGAAGAGCCCATTCTAAACAGGCAGGTTTAGAATGGCCACTGTTCCAGATAATATTAAAGCAATATAAATAATCAGGGTGACATACTGCTATTTCTGAACTAAACAAGTTCAATCAATTAAGCATTACCTGAAGAGCTTTTTAATGGTGGCACATTGTATATTGACACAAGGACGCACAACATCCACAATCAGTGTCTCGTATTTCCCATCACATCCTCTAAAGCAGCGTCTCGGTAAAAAACACCTGACTTTGTTCTCGCCGCGCTCACTTGCCGCTGCTTCAAAGGCGTCATCAGATTAAAGAGAGCCAGAATACCTTTGCTTTTTCATCACCACAGCGCCGGGCCCACTCTGCTTACATCAGCTGTTTGAATTTGAATGAGACAGACATAGATGTGAAGAATGGTTGAAAAGGAGTCAGGGTATAATGAATTCACACATTTGTGTTTACGTGTTTGGGGACACATCCTGCTGTGTGGACGGATGCAGATTTGAGGAAATAAACATCTGTAAAGAATTCTCCCCCATGTCTTCCTCCTGCACCTTGGCACTGAGCACTTTCATTTTTGTCTTTTTGTCAGGAATGTTACCTGGATTGAACTTGTTTATTTTTGTTTTTTTCATGCTTCTTCAATATTTCGCTGTACTTTAGTACAAAAGTAACAGGTTTTAAAGTGGTCCTGACACTTTTTCTATGGAATTTCTTTTTCAAAAGTCTATCAATGTTATATATGTTATATCCATCAAATACACTTTCCTGCTGATAGTTAGCTAAAAAGAATGAGACCACTTTCATGTGGATCCCTCTAATAAGTACAAAACTATATTGGGTGGCAGTTAGCTTCACAAATATCACAACACTACAATTCAGTATTCATCCCTGTCTCGGGTTGTCTATCCCACTTTTGTAATCATGATATATAGACAAACCTTCCCCCCTTGCAGTCACCTCACATAAGTCTGTAAAAAAATGTATGGACTGAAACTGAACTGGTTGGTGGAGGCATACATCCACAGGGTGATAGTTCCCTGTAGTGAGGTTTTGAGGAGCTGTTTGACAAATTGAACTTAAATGCTTCCCCCTGTTCCCAGTCTTTATGCTAAGTTAATCTAATGGGCTGCTAACTATAGCTTCTTTTTTAACAAGTAATACTGAGAGAGGCATCAACGCTCTCACCTAAAAGTCTTTGACAACTCACTGTAAATAACTATTAGCAATACTGAGCATGTGCCAGTACAGCATTTAATATACAATATAATTCTTCTGGATCTAAAATGAAGTATTTTAAAACTTTAAAAAGTGTTTTTATTTCATCTTGAAAGAGATATTTCTTTTACGCATTCACATTATATGAAACATTCAAGCCAAGATAGGTGATTCCATAGTCTACGTGTTTATCATGTTGATGTTCTCTGTTTATATTATGTTGAAAGCAACTTAAACCTCCTCACCTTAGCATTCAGTCACATATTCTGGTCCAAACGTTGTGATTCATACATGTATGTAAATTGGGAGCCTGTTCCAGGGTTAGGCTACCTCATGATACCACTGGTGTGGAACAGATCAACATTTAAAATACATTCAATTATCTTTGCTGTGCACATTGGGATTAATCATTCGTAATCATGGATTGACTGCAACAAATTATTCCTTCCTGTGCCGCTTCTGTCACACACATAGAACTGTGTGGATATTATACAGGGGAGATGGTAGCTTTGAGAAACGTGGGTGCGGAGCTTATACCTGATTTAATGTTATGCATAAAGGCAGCGGTGATGTCGATGCCAGTCTGATGTCTCATTAATTCTTCAGTTCACTGGGCTGTGGACAGACACAGCAGATTGACAGGGGATGAGGAGACTTCACCGGCGTCTCCTCAGCGCTTTGACTACAGTTAATCTTTGATGCTTCCTATCGTTAAATGGACAGGCACCCCCCACCTTCCGCACGTGTACCCTCCCTGCACCCATAACCAACCCCCCACAAACACACACTGTCAGTCAGTCCTCCAGTCAGTGTGAATGCATGAATACTGTAAACTGTAGCGACAGGGTAAATTACCACATGTGCTATCGAGCCACACAACATCAAAATGCTTTATGACTTCCTGCGGGTGTGAGTATGGAGGTTTGGTTCGGTCTGGAGGCAGATGTGATGTTTCTCCAGGTGCGGCGATCATCGCAGTTTCCATTCATTCTCCCATGTGCTCAATTAACAGTCATCTTCAGTAGCTGTAGCAGATTGCACCCTATTGATCAGCAGCAGCACTTAGAACAAGAATTTTCCCACATTATGTACAGTACCTTACTCTGACGTCATGTATTCCTGGCCTGACACCACCCACACACACGCGTAGGATCAAATGTGTTGTACTCTGCAGAAAACAATACATTTTCCTCATTAAGACTGCCTTCTTATTTTAGATCAGGGAGATGCAACTGTAGTTCCTGTGCGTCTCAAATTCCAACATGAGAACCTCTGGCCCCAGCATGCATAATATATGCTGTAACAGAGACGGAACCGTCTGACTGCTGACTGAGCCACCTTCAAAATGAATCGCTGATAACTTTGGAGATGCAGCAGTTTGTCTCATGGCTAACGTGTTGGGACGGGTCATTCTGCCACCTTCCCTGTCCTAACTGCCTCCAACCCTGAGGACACAAAAAGGCCAAGTGCAGCGGTGGATGACCCGAGGAGGAGAAGAAAAGCCGAACAGTGGGAGAGAAAAAAAAGAGGATGAGCTTCATCAGAGAAAAGACGGAATGCAGAGAGGGAGAGGATCACTGGAGAGTGGAGAAAGGACGGACAGGTAATCAGGTGAAAATAAACACATTCCAGTCTCTAAAAGAAAAATCTTTCTTGTCATTGTTTTTTATTACAAATTTCACCATCAACAAACACTGAAGTCAAGGCCTCTTCAATGAACTTTACATTGAGAAGCAGATGGTTCAGGTTGAAAGGCTGCAGTGAGGACACATCAATTTGACAGTGCCTTGAAAATGTTCGGCCATTCAGGGCTACAGCAACTAAATGTGAAACATTCAACAAATTAACTTACAATAAATAGAAATAACAGTAAACAATATAAATATATTTCACATTTTTTAACATAATTCGCAAACATATTAAGGGCTGACGGTTGACTCAAAGGCTCCTTCTATTAAATATTCAGATGCTCAAAGTTATATTCAAAGATTTGAGTGTAATTTGAGGTAAATCTGTTTGAGATGATATATTGATATTTTCAGAGCTTTAAATTGAGTGCTCCAAAAAAAGACCAAAGTGATATTATCAACACAACACAAGAATTGTTTTAAGATGACCGAAGGTCCATTTCTCACTCATGGACTGGTGAAAAATGTACCAACAGTAGAGTCCTGCACCGGTTCAGGTACATAGAACATTTAGATGATTTTAATCTATATCAGTTTATATGAAACCTAGTAAGCTGCAAGGTTTTGTTTTATTGTGACAATCAATGACACCACTTTTGACCCCTTTACTTCCGCTCAAATAACTAGCTAAAAAATAAAAAATAGTGATAAATACATTCTCTTGCTGCTTGTAAAAAGTGCCACAATGTATTAGCTTATGAAAGCTGCAAGCTAGTCACATTGTTGCGGAGGAAAGCTGCAGGAGCACATAGCATATCTTTCCAAGAACACAACATATCCAGTTGGAGGTCAGTGACTCTGCGTGTAAAAAATTTTAATCACAGGAGATGGGTTGGGTCACGGCACGGGTCATAGGTTAGTGGGTCCAGGTTGGTCTAGATTTGAATCGGAGATATTATCAGGGAATGTGTTGGGTATGATACGGATTGTTGGGGGTGCAGGTTTGCAAAAATGGAACCGTGCAGCTAGAGTACAATCAAATAGCGTCAACTCTGACTATACAACCATAAATAAGAAATTAATCATAAATTGTTTACAGTACATTGACATTCAGTGTAAAAAATGTCCTTACAAAAAGTTACTGAATTTACAAAGTGTGAAAAATATCATATTCTTCCACATTATAAAAAAATGCCACTTTGAACGGGGCAAGTGAAGTTGCTTCATGTGTAATAAAACAGAAGAATGGAGAGTATGAAGACACAGTACATACATGAAGTTAATGTGTTGGTTCCTGGTTTGTTCGAAACAACGTGCTACTAAACTCATGTGCTATCAGAAGCCAGAGTTTATCAAAAGGCCAGTGTAAAAGGATTTAAAAGTCATTTGTTAAACGGCGGATGTCTCTTAATGTTCGACCACAGTTCAAACATAATTATAGTGATAGTTCAAAAGTTGCTCCAGGAATGCTACAGAAGTTTTTAGCAGTGACGTATTAATTGAATTTCACAAACTGACACTTTTATAAAACAGATCAGTAGTTCCTGAAATGCAGGCTACCTGATATTTAAGTGTATGGTACTTATTATGCAGTACTGTGTGTGTCCGTTAGACAGTTGTGACAGACAGGAAGGCGTTGTGTACTTTTGAGCCCTCAGGGACTCGGGCCCCGTGGCTCATCAACTCCTGGATGGTCATCCAGTTGTCGAGTATCTTTTTGTTTCGTTTCTTCATCATCTTTTTGTGACTGAGCTCTAAGATATTGATCTCTTTCCTGCCCTCGGCTCCGCTGGCCGGTCCCTCTTTAAGACACTCCAAGCGGCTCTTTTGCATGAACTCCCTCCTTTTCCTCTGCTCCCTGGCTCGTGCCAAGTGCTGCTTCCTCTCCTCTTTGCTCCAATAGCGGCCCATCTTCATCTCGCTCATAGCATCATCGTCCGTGGTCATGCCTCCGCTCCTCTCCTCTCGGATCCTTAGCGCCCGCTCCCTCAGGATGCGGTCGCGGGCAGGCCTCCGGGCCACGTAGCGTGTGCCGTCAGCGCGGACTTTGACCTTCCACTCCAGACGGGGCTCCCCAGGGCGTCCACTCCGGTGCACAGGATCTCGACAGACGCTGAGCAAGCTCAGCTGGCTCTGGGAATACTCCAGGGATGAGTGCTGTTGGAGCAGCTGCATGTAGCTCTGCAACACAGAGAGAAATAAAAAATTAAGAGTGGTCATCAGAAGAGCTTTAGCCGAGGGCACATGATTGAAACATCCCTTCTTCATGATACATACCTGGAGTTGCCTGGATCCTCCCTGGCCTTGATAGGGGGTCGTTTGATATGAACACCCATAGGGAAGCCCTCTCCTCGACTCTCTGGTCCTCCCTTTCTTCTCACATCTTTCATCATCTGCAGGCAGGGCAGGGTCGGATTCAGACCTGGAGGGGTTGCTCTGGTCTGGGCTGCTGGAGATAACCAGGCTTGGCTCTGCCGGTCTGCTACGACTAGGGGTGCCATGGGGTTTGGGGATAGAGATGGGGCTTGAGGGTGTGGAGGAGGCCAGTCTGAGGTTTTTCTGGTTGGTGATGCTGATGTGTCTCTGTAGCGAGTGGTCAGGAGACCTCTCCATACCTAGCGGTGTTGACCGTGCACTCTCGGCTGTGTTGTAGGCACTGGAGCTGTCCTTCTCCCTCATCTTATCGCTGTCCGACCTCTCTGGATGTTCATGAATGTCAGCCAGCCTGCCGTGCCGCTTGTTCGAGTCTTTGGGGCTTCGTCCTGGTGAGCAGGGTTCCGACTGTGAGGGGTCCAGATTGTGTGTCTGACGGAGCTGATGCGCCTGCATGATGCTCTGGCACTCCAGCTCAATGCTACGTAGTTCTTCATTCAGCATCCTCAACTCATGCTCCACACCTCCCCCGCCTCCATCACTATCCACACTGTCTGCTTCCCCTCCTCCCTGCTCAGTGAGGCTACACTCTATACTGTGTCGGATAGAGTACACACCACACTCGCCTCCATTCCGGATTTGACACTTGAGCTCCAGAAGTTGCTGGAATCGATTCTCTAATCCTAAAACCCCACCTCCACTATTACGAATACTGAGTACCCCTTCATGGCCATGACGTTTGGATATTGTCTTTTGACTCTGGGTCTCCTGTCCAGTCCCACGTCGTGTGTGCGGATGCTCTGCCTGCCATCGGTCCCTCAGGCAATGGGCTGGGCTCCTCCTGTGTAGTCTGGCAAGTAAGGGTTGGTGCTCTGGACTCTCCGTACTGCGTCCAAAGCCACTATCTTGATTATTGGAGGAACACGTAGCTGTGTCTGTTGTCATCTCTTCTTCAGCTTGATGCTGGTGTGAGAAGAAGCATAAAAACAATGTCATTCACTTACACTAGTTTTCTTGCTTGTTGTGATTTGGTCAAATTATGTGGATGGAACAACTGTAAGCCAAATAATTAGACACTATATTCATGTTGGGTAAACCTGCAGCTCACATTTCACATCCACTACAAACATTTAGTACCAAATCCATTAAGGCTTGTTTTTGCTGCCTCTGCATATGAAAACAGTCAAACGATGTAATCGTCACTACCCACATATTTCCATCACCCCTTACTTTGGCCTGGTTGTTAAGCAATGCATCCACTTGAGGGCAGAGTTGAGAGTTTCTGACAATAACAAACATGGCAACAGTGGAGGAGGCTGTGATAATATACCTCTTAAGAAGCAAAAGCAGCTGTCGATTGATGTGCAGGAAACAATAGTTATCATCTTCGTTGCAGGTTTTTTTTTACCATGATGCTTTGGTTGCCTATCATGAACTATAACAATAGCATAGTTTAATGCCATAGCGATGATCTTTTCTTAACTTTTATAATACCATAGCTGCCAAGTATGAGTGTGTCCTTCCTCCTCCCCTATTACCCATCTATCCATCTTTTCTTTCCAAGATGCTTTTCTGCCTTATTTTGATTCATTTCTCAGCTCAAACACTCACCTCATCCCTTCTGTCAAAGCTATGCTCCTTCTGCTTCCTCCTCTCCTCAAGGATCTCCATCTTCAGCTCCTCCACCAGCTCCTGCTGCTCATCATCCAGCCATACCTCCTCCTCCTCCAGCTGAAATCACAACATCTTGTCAGAAATCTGTCTCTCTCGCTGCACATGATTGTGTGGAGCAGAAACCTTAGACAACACACTGACAGTTCGGAAGGCAGGCAGCTGTTGTTATTTGACATGACATAGGTTGTCAGGAGAGGGCAGGGAGCCTGTGTAGGTGTGGGTTTGTTGTGTGTTCACCTGGAGTTCTGGTCTTGTCACCAGCAGCACGATGCTTCTTGCTTCTTCGCTTGACAACATGGCAACGGCTTTCTCTCTGTCTTGCACCTCACAGCCATTTATCTGCACATCAAAAACAAGAATAGATGTTCAGGTTAAGGGAAGAGAACTTGCAGAAAGTCCTGACGACATACCCAAGAAATGACAGTCTGTAATTTTATCTTCCATGCAACTGTCATGAAGGAAAAGATGAGTGTAATAAAACTAGCAATTTCTCCTATTTTTGTGAGGCATCTTTTCCCCCCTCTCTCCCTCCATCAGTTTCTCTCTACACTTCACCCAACATCCCTCTTTGTCCCATTACCTCCTCCAACTTCACGCATCTGCAGGGAGAGGAATGGGAAGGCTGCACGCTTGGTGAGGGGAGTCAATTGCGTGTGTGTACGCAAGTCCACTCTCAATTCACATCCAGACACACAATTAACTGTTGTTTGACAGGTGGCATTCATCTTTTCTTCACTAGAGTAATGGGGTTGTCAGACAAAGATAATAGGGCAAGGAGTACAGGGGGCCCCGCTCCCTATCTTCACTCACACTACAGAGAGAGAACGGAGGTACTCTAACACTGTCTCTGTTCATGTTCTTTTACTGATACTCCCATGAGAGTATTCACACTTACAATTATGGAAACATGCAGTGAACTATGAGTACTCAGATGGCCCACGCAGAATGGTGAAAAAGTTGTGTGAAACGCTGGACCCCCTTGCTTATGTAGTGGAAGTGGACAGACCACCAATGTGTTTTTGAAGCAGCATAGGATGAAGAACATGTTATTGGCAACAATGGTGGCTTAATTTCCATAAGTGAATCGGGGGGCACACACACCTCTTCATAGCTATAGAAAAGTATTTGGTTTATTTTTCCAGCTTAAATGAACAAACAAGCTGGGAGATAATTTGATGATGAAAACTTCAGTTGAATGAAGCAATCATAGTTTCTGCTAAGTGAGCAACAGCCGTGTTCAACAACAATCACACACTCCACCAACCTACATGGAAGTATCCAAACTGAGTCACATACAAAATGCTATGTAAAATCAATGAGGCGGAGAGATGTTCAGACTGAAGTTTCATTTGCTGGATATGTTCTTAACTATTTGCTTGATGTATAAATACTCCACCATTCCTGACAATAACTCTACAATAATGCTGCAACTAAAGTGAGGAGTGAATGAGTAATTCTGTGTTTTTAAATGTCTTGTCTGACCAACAACCCCAAACCAAAAGATAATTATTTTCATCTCATATATATGAGAAAAATCACAGAAAAAGTCCACATGGCTCAGAAATGCAAACAAAGAACTGAGAGACACTTCACATTCTGCTGCTGTGAACACAACTTACAGCCCATGTGGCTCTGGAGGATTAAATAGACTTCCAGCCAATTGGCATCAGCCAATCAGGAGGCAGGCAGGAAGAGGTGCAGGGTGTTTTCAATAAACTAATTTACTGGTCAAGCAGTGGTTTTTCATTTACTGGTTTTTGAATGACAACATAGGCAAAGGATGTGCAAATACATGCACAAATGTTTCCATATATGAAAGTATACTGTGCATACAGACAGATAAATATGTCAAAAACACTTTAAATGGGTTAGATAATATGAACATACTTAAGTCGGAGGAAATAACATTAAAGAAAATAAGTGTGAAAGAACAGAAACTAAACTTAAGTTATATTGTTTTAATTTATATTCACATGGGCATATGTTTGTGCAAACATTTCCACTTTGTTAATCCTGTGCACGAGGGGGAAAACAATCTTTAACCAGTCCTGTGCATGGTTTTAATGCACAGGACTGGTTAAAGATGCAGTTAAAGCTAACTACAATCTGACCCCATAGGTGTTTTTAAATAATGAGACAGAGAGCAGTGCTAAACATAATGCATTGCTTGTTGTTACAGTGACTAAGAACTTTAATTTCGCTGGTAAAACGAGCTGAGCAAACACACATACTATATGTTTGGCAGGACTGCAGACACAAACAGGTTGGATATTTTATAAAAAGAGGTTCTAGAGGAAGATGCTCTCTAAAAAGCAGGTTGGATGAGGAAAATTAATAATATATATCTTAAGAACGCCTTGAGAGAATCCTTTCAAATTTGTCACAAAAGTTCACTTAGACGCATTAACTGGTGGTCAAAGGTCATCTCACATGCACACGCAGAGTGCGAGTCCATGTGAGCTGATAATATAACCTGATGTGTGTTTGCACTTTGGGCACAAATTAGATAAAACTACACACCTGTAAAATACGATCTCCTTCCTTGATGCGCCCATCTCTCGCTGCTATGCTGTTTGGCTCCACCTGCACAAAAAGAGCATGGAAATCAATGTTAGAAGCTGGTACCACTCCCTCACCACTGCTCTCAAATCAGCTGCCAAGAAAAAAGAAATCATGCATCCGCCCCCTGATCTGGATCCACACCAAAATTTAATTAGTTCTTCCCTGACCCACACTGCATCCTTCCACTAAGGTTTATTGTAATCCGTTCATTAGTTTTAGTCTAATCTTGCTTACAAACAAACCAACAGGGGTGAAAACATAACCTCCTTGGTGGAGGTTAATGAATAATATTAGTTGAAAAGTGTCAGATCTGGATTCTGCAGCTCTGGAGTCAAAGGAGCGTTTCTAATACTGTATATGCTGAGTTTGGCAGCTGGTGACTGACTATAGAAATATGTAAATCTTTAACATTACATGAAACAGAAAGGGTTTCTTATACAGAGCATGAGTGAAGAAAGAGACTCAATAAAAAAAAGAACTTAAAACATAAAAACGTCGCTGGTGTTTATGGCTCACACTCGACGCTGCTCTAGTTGAATGAATCATCACCTCATATGTTTGTAAATGCGTCCCAGTGGATTTAAGCCTCAAAACAAAACCACAAACACTCAACAATCATTTGATACTTTTTGTTGCTCTTACATTGAACCTTAGTGGAGAAAAAAAACACATACTTCCTCAAGTTGCAGCCATACTACGTATCATATATTTTAATGAGGGAAATTAGCATTTCTATCCTTTTATCACGGAAACAGAAATAGACATGTTGTGTCAGTAGGAGACTTCTTTTCACAGTCTGCAGAGGCTCAGAAGGTGCTGCTGTTATTGTGCAGTTCAAGAAAAACAACAAATCTGTCCGTGTTCATACTCACTGTATATTACTATAAGTAATATTCTATATAAAGGCTGCGAGGGGTTAAATATGCTGCAGCTCCTTGTAATTCTGCCGTTTATCCTTATCGCTGCTTTCTACTCCTCATGGCAACTCTTACTTTTCACACCCTCACGCCTTTGTGTCCGTGATGGGATTGAAACAGCACCTGCACTCATTCTCAACATTCTTCTCCCTATTCACTTTGCATAAACCTCTCTAAATTACACCATTCATTCCCGTTTGTAAGAGGAAGTATATTTTTCCCCCTAACGAGAAATCCTTGAATTTTAAAAGTGGGGGGGTGTAATGTGTCATTGACGATGCTGCGGTTGGGGTAAAGAGGAGGCTGACGCTCACAACCAATTAAAAACTTCAATTAAAACAAGAGGGATGGCAACGGCAGAATGGGAGTCACATTTCAAACCCAACTTCCTCCTTGGCCACGAGCGGCTCATTGGACTGGTAACATTTTCCACCCCCTCCTCCTCTAATTTACTTCGACTTCATCTCTGCTTCATTGTGTAAAGACTGGAAATTCAAAAGGGATTCATGCCGTCTTTTCACAACTTCCCTCTCCAATGGAAACTGATTGTTGGGACCTGACACTTCATTAAGGGACACTTGTCTTTTTCTTCAGGCCTTTGAGGCAGTGATAGTGTGACAGTAGGAACCAACTACCATCAGTTCCTTGTAGAGAAAAATGAAATGTGCCAACGAGATGAAACCATATGTTCTTTGCCAATACCTGGCTGACATAGATGCTAGTGTCCTCCTCCTCGTCGGTCCTGTAGCACAGTGTCAGGCCGAGCTTCTCCTGGTTGTTCTGCCGACACAGCTCCACCTCCTGCGACACACAAACACCAATGTTTTAATCCAATAATGTTTCACCTCTTATGATCATATGAGGTCTCAAGTGGATTGGATGGATTTCAAAACCATCAAATTTGTATTTAAATGAAATAATCCCACCCGTGGGAGACCAGGTCCAACTTGATCCTCATATTACGTCAGTATTGCTAATCACTTTAAGGGACTGTTCAAGTAAGAGAAACTGCTTCAGGCAAAGAGACTTTTTCACATATATATATTTTTTTAATTTGTTTGAAATTAGAAAAAAAGTGAATACAAGTTTAGAAAATGTTTAAAACGCCATTAGGAAATCAAAGATCATCAAAGATGAAGGGTTATGGTCAAGTGTGCTGCACATACGAAATTAGCTTGGCCCACAATTTTATGTCATTACCCGACGAAGCCAGAGAGAAAATAACCCAGCCCGGCATGTGTAGCGTAACAGATCAAGTAGATGGCCCAGCGAGCATGACCAGAACATCATTTACAGAAATGTTGTCAGGACCTGACTGGACAGGTCTACACAGAATTGAAGCCAAAAAATCCTGGATACAAATTCTTCCATCTTGCGCAGTAGTGATCGGCAGATTGAACTTATTAGATGTGACCTACAGTGCAGCTAGCCAGCAGGGGGTGGTTTAGACATTTTGGCTTCACCTTTGGGGAGCTGTCATGTCACTCATCTTCAATACAGTCATTGGTGCAGCACATACACATGGACTGAGGTAGCATTCAGTTCTGAAGTGGTTTAGTCCCTTCAGGTCCTGGTGGACACGTTCAGCTCCACACTCTGCTGCTGCGTATTCCCTCCGATTGAGACTAAGAGTCGCTACACTACAATTCAACCCAGCAGAGGGAACGTGCACTCTCAGAACACACAACAGTGTAGAGACTATAATATATGAAACATACACAGTGGCAGAGCCGCAGCACGTGTTCCGCTCATTGGTGAAATATCAGCCTGTTGGTATCACACCGAACTCAGCGTGTGTCAGCGGAGCCGGCAGCTCTTTGATGGCTGCTCGTGACGGATGCAAATTTCTCTAAAATGTACCCCCCTGATTTGCAACTGGCCGCTTTTGATCTCTGCTGTGTATGAAAGGTAATCACATAAAGATAACTCCGGCGGCAATCTTTATTAACCCCATGCTGCCAAATTAATTTAAGGGCTGTGAAGTTGTGAAAAGGAGGGGTGTGGTGTAGGGGGAAAAAAAAATCAGGGGACGACATTGGGGGTGGGTGAGAATTAAGCCCCATTTTTCTGTCATGGGAAACCATCATATCAGAGATTGACAGGGGAAGTAATTAATTTCTGTGGCATTTAACCCCCTATGCAGACAGCCCTGACCTTCAAAGGTTGGTGAGTGTGTTATAGGGAGTTTGTTATATTGCAACACAGTGCACCAGTTGTTACTACACACACACACACATGCTCCTCCTCCACAGGCTGATTTGTAGGAACCCTGACAGTGAAATACCAGCAGCGTACACAGAGATCAGACAGTACTAACGCCTGAATGTCAGCACACATTGGGTGGTGCGCTGGGTTTTTTAGTGAATTACCGGCGTCAGTTATCATGGCGTAGTGCTCACTGCTGAGTGGTCTCCAGATGTGCAGAGCCAGTGGGCGCTGAAACTGTGGAAAGTGCTCTGTTGGCAATGATTGGATTGTAATCTGTTCCGCTGCAGAGTTTGAATTATCGCACTGTGGTGACAATTCTTAATTTACAGTATAAAATAACCACATTTACCACGTGCTATATGAGAAATGTAGACTGCCAATATGTGGCATCATGTCTTTTAGAGCCACATTAAACATCTGTTTCGCTCATAACAGTTATTTTATGTTTCATTCACAAGACATTGCTGCCGAGCCTGATGTTCTTTGGCTCATTGATTCCACATAGCGGACGATGACGTCCTCTCCGCTGTCACTTCTCTGTGGCCTTTAATGTACACTGATGATTATTCAGTCAGTCAGGAAATTACTGAAAATTAAACTTCTTTCAGTTTATTTTAAGCGTTTTATTTTATCTGCTTTGGTCTATGCCAACCAGTTTGTTATGATGAGAGCTTATATGTGGTCATCTCACCAGAAACCATTTAGCAGGGTTTGTGCCACAATAAACCCAACGATGTCATCAGGGTTATTTAAGAGAAAACTTGCGCTACAAATTTTGAGATTTTGAATTACCTGAGAGGGGGCTGTACTGTATGTGTCAGTTGCTCCAGACATTTCCTGGAACTTTACCTACCAGCCCCCTTGTATTTTATGTATTTCATGTCTGAAAACAGTTTAAGTTTATTATTTCTTCTTATTTAGCAATATTTTGCAGTACAATATTTACTTTTTCTGTCTTTTGGCACTTAATTTGGCAAACTGCTCTCTGGCTGCTGTCTGTCACTGCCTTAACTGCACTGACCAAATATATATTTCATTAGAATCCACCATCATTCAACATTGCCTGGCAAGTATAGAAATATCCACAATGAGGTAAAATTGCAGAGAAAATCATTATCTCCTGATTCATAACTCTTCGGAACTGTGATTACAAAAGGAATGCCTCTCTATTCTACTGTGTACTTTATTTTTCCACTGGATCAAACAAAGCATCCTTACGTAAAACTGGTTTCTCTCTAACTGTTTCCTCGTGCACTTCCTGCTGTTACAGGACGGTAGATTTGGCAGAACTAGAGAGAGTATTATGACAGCAGGAGTGCCCATGTGGACAATCAGTTTGAAGGGAAGCTAAAGCTGGCAGTCAGGAGTAATGTTCCTGGGAATGGCAGCCCCATTCTGTTTCATCTGAGAGGAAAGCCGCTCATGTTTCAGTTAGATACACATGGATGGACAGAGGTAAGTGGTGTGTGTCTGGCAGGTGGGGGTGGGAGTTGTGTGTGTGTGTGTGTGTGTGTTGTTTATACCACGGTTTAACTGAAGCTGACCTTGTTCTGGTACTATACCGCTATTACCACACACAAGCACTCCTCCCCCACTCCCGCCGCCGACCCCTGACAGGAAAGTCTCCAGATGACGTGGAGTTAGGGCCACAGCTGGCAGCAGAGGGATCCTAATGACCCACAATGCAGTTCACTGAGCCAGAGAGTGCCCATTAAACCAGGTCGGAGGAACTGACAGTGGCAAACGTCACCTATCACTGTCACCCAGCGTGGCGTTGAGGTGCACTCATTGTCTGACTTGCATGATGCATCGGTTAGAAGTGAGACACTTGTGGGTGCAGAGCATTGACTGAATCAGGCACACACACACACACGAAGAGATACACAACACAGAAAACACTCACCTCACCACAGGATGTTAAACATCATTTCAACTTTGATTGGTCTGGATCTTCAGACTTTTAAGGTTCGTAGATCAACCGACCAAAATTCAGTGTGACCAAAAGAGTCGGTTCGGTTTGAACTTTCGAATCAATTGCAAGAGGCTGAGACAGGATGTTAATTTTACTAGTAGTAATACCATAATGATTAAAGTGGCAACGACTTCAACAAAGTGAACTGGTTAATTCATTTTCTCCATTTAAACAGACAGATTTCTATCTTCGGACGCTGATGTCAGAAGCTCACCCCGTCTTCAAACCAATCAAATCTAAGCAATTTTACAAAGACACAAAGCTTAGTGTGCACCATGGTCTGGACTATCAGGTTTGAAAAAACCCCTCTGTTTTGTCATGTTTTCAAATTTTATAAATTTAAATTGTTTGTGACTCCCACTAAAGCAAATCCAATATCATCATCTCCTGTTTTTAATTAGTTTTCCCACTGATATGTAGCGAGCTCTTTCTATTCACAATCTCGATGACGATGTCAAAAGAGACCAAATGTTCCTGAAGGACAGTTCATGATGAAAGGGAAACTCACTGCCTGAGAGTGAAGCACACAGGCAATACAACAGAGAGGCCCTTTTTTCCTTTGGTACCATAACATGAAGAATGGCCTTTCCTTTTAAACCCAAGGACTGTGCTCCGCTACACAAAACACTCCAAAGAGAGTACACTTCTCAGAAAAGACCAGACAATTTTCTTGTATTATTGTGGCATAGGCAATTTCTCTTGTATTGTTCTGGGACTTGTGGACAGCGTAGTTCAGAGGTAGACTTGGATGGTCTCCTGGGATTTTGAATTTCTGACACAATGGAGGCATCAGAGTCTACTGCATCGACCAAAACCTTTTTAATCCGTTTACAGCAGCACGGAAAGACACAAATAACCCGACGAGCATTTCTATTGCTCTCAAGTGCTGTGCTATTCCTGTGTGTTTGATACAACATCAGGACAGTTCTATCCTTCACTGGCAAGTTGTGTATATCACTGTAAAACGTCCAGACAGAGGAGGATTAGCTTGAAATACCTCATGATTAGTATTTTGGAGGCTAATTCCATTAATTTAAATTACACTTCAATTCAACTACTTTCAGGCTCAGCAATATATCATAATTTCCCAGAATCAGTGCAGTGCAAAGCTGTACCTCGTATTCATACTCTTCAGTCCTCTCCACCTCTGCAGGCGTGTTAGACAGGTACTCTGGACATTCGTAAAACTCGTGCTCCATGGTGTGGATGGAGTGACAGCTGAAGAAGAAAAAGAAAATAGATCATTACTGCTTGTTCTCTCATGCATCTTTCTAGTGTGTGAATACCCTATTATAGCTCTATTAGTGGATATGCACAGGTTTTTTAAACACGAGGAAATACTCCAAAAAAAAGGAAGACGTCACAATTTCACTGTGAGCCGCTCTCTCACCTCTCTGTATTTTCTCTAATCGACAGTGATGGAAACATGACACGTGGGTGAATGTGCTAATTGGGCAAGACAGAGCCTGTTCATGTTTTTGCAGTATTGACTATAATAATTTGCTTAATAACTGAGAAACCCCAATTTGAATATGAGGTTTTGATTGGGTTTTCGTGAATTAGGAAGACTCCTCAGTCTCGTGCATGTATTTTTTCATAATTCTCATCTCATTCTACAACAAAACTCTGAACAAGCATTGCAGACTTCACCTATTACCACCGTAAAGCCGTGACCTCTGTAAATTGCTGGCATGATAATTGCCTCTCCATAATCATTGACCAACGCTGGTAGATTTATAGTGTTATAGGACAAATTGATTTCATTTGCTGCCCGGCAAGGCCCTATAAATAGCCTAAGAATGGATGATGCGCCAGAATGCCAGCTCCATCAGCCCATTGGCTTTTAATCGGCCAGCAAAAGCTCCCATTAAAGAAAATGGATGTAGCACACAGAAGCAATTATTGCACGCAAGTTTGGCTCCGCAAAATAATATCACAGGGACAAAGTACTTAGCTCTACTGGAGGTTTCCACACTATGATACAACTGCTTAATAACTACCATGAAATGAATTGTCCGACCTGCCCATATCATCTCAGTGTGTACCATTAACACTCAGTAACCTTTCAGAAGATGGATGGAAGGCTAAAACTTTGTGCAGAGGCTTTACTGTTATACAGTGTTTTCCCTCACCTGTCAGACAAAAGGAAGGGACAGATGTCAGGGACCGGTGGCGTGGCAGGCCTGAGCTTGGCCAGTGCCATGATGTGCTCGAAGGTGATGTCCGTCTGTGTGCAAACATCTATGACATGCACGTCCGGTGGTGTGCCGCTGTGGTTGTGTGTGGCCACCGCTGTGTTAGGGTTTCGCCGGAGAACCTGGACAACGATGGGGTCTCGCCTGATAGCCTCCACCACCGCCTGGTCATGGTCGACCTTGGAGAAGTCACGCCCGTTTACCTGAGGATACGGAGAATAAAGAGTCAGTTGATGGAGAGATTTTGAGATTCACTGGGCTTCATTAGGACAGAACTTCATTCAGCACAAGAACAAACTATCCTGATGTTGTTAATTAGCGTGGAAGGATGAATTTCCTTGTGGCCTGCACACATTGGACGGTACAACCGGTCAGTCACATGTCTAAATAAGACAATTTACAAGATGAATCATAGTGCATTAAAGAAGTCTTAAAACTACAGATTGAGACCATAAACTCCTGAGAAATATGGTAAATTCTTATAGACTTCTATAGAAACTGACTTCCATTTGCAACCAGTGAAGTCACCTCCTGCTGGCTATTCAAAAGAATACAGGCACACTGGCTTCACTTTCTGTACTGGATTCTACGCCCATGTTATTCACAGTTTGTAATTTCTCGAACCGTTGCTTTACCAGCCAGAAAGAGTTTTTTTTACTGCACTTTGGCAGTCATTCTTGATTGAGTGAGCACATTACATATTCCATGATTTTTTTTAACTACACTGTATACTTTCCCTGCACGTGCAGACATTTTAACTGCACAGTACCTATTCACAAATGTGCTTCAACGACCTCAAGGCTACTTTTTAAATTTACGTGCGCCATATAATGAAGTCCATTTGCTGCAAGAGGAAAAACTCCCCCAAAAACAGGTTTTAATGGGGCACATTTAATCTCACTCAGTTTTACTCCAATATTCTTTTTCAATTCAGTCTAACGCAGATGCATTATTTACATCCCAATATAACCATTTAGCCCATTAGACATAGAATAATAATGGTGATTTAGGAAAATGAGCTTCAAAATGGGGGAAAAGTAGCAGGAGGTAGACAATGCATTGTGGGAGCATCAGATATACAGAGAGACTTATTGGTGAATAGGTGCGTGTAAGACGTCACATTGATCGCTGTCAAACAAAAAACACACCCATGCACCTGTGTGTTACTCACTTTCGAGGACCCTGTCACTTTGTTTGACCCAATAACAAGCCCTCTGTGAGCCTGTGCCTGTGCTCAAGTTCATTTTCAGTCTGTCACACTGTGAAATTGATTAATTGCATTGATTTTGGATGTCAAGTGTCAAGATTGTTTGTCAAGGGCTTAAAATTTGGAAGCACATGCCTAATGTCAGCCTCATTATTGGAAACAGAAATATGAAGGGTGACATTATTTCAATGGCAGCACGTTATCTTCTGCTCCTGGTGCTGGACTACGCTGCATTTACACACAATCAGTTTATTGACATTTTATGCTTGACATGAAGCTTTAAAAACTTTGGCTGCCTATTAGTACACACCATATTCTGCCATCTGCAGCTGTGATGGCAGTTAATAGATGGCTTCATCAAACCTGTGACCTTTTTTTTTAATGTCTATCCCATTCGAGCATCTTTGAAAAAGTGCGGAGCAAGTTTCCGAGTTGTAATGAGGCCCAGATGGAGGCATTAATCTCCAATCAGAGTGAATGCTCTGGAAGGCAGGAAGTGATTGTGCATGTACACCTGCCAGAGTGTTTACCTGCTGTTGTTCTTCTAGTCAATCTGCCTGTTGATGAACTAACTGGGGGCTGATTAATAGCCAGCAGATGTGACAAAGACTGGGGATAATGGCTCAGAAAGTACAGGTTTTATGTGTCTTTGTGCTCCACACATTTTCTACATTGTATACTTTACTGAATTTACAAAGTATTATGGGTAATTAAACTGCAAATGAGGAGATAAAGAGAAGCAGATAGGTTGGAGTTAATTAAGTTCTGAGCCAATTGAGAAGGTTCAGAATCATGATACTTTGATTTTGTGTTGTTTATATCTCATATTTCTTCATTATATTATTCATTGTGTTTCCTGCATTAAACCCTGTGAGCCATAATCAAACAACTTCTATTCCTTTCAGTGAAATATCCTACTCTGTTCTTTTTCTTTGGATTTCCTATTATTATTTATTCTTGCAGAGACTGCTCCTCCATAGGGATTGTAGTTTAATTTAGTCATAGCCTGGGATCTTCCTTTCTATATCTAGGAAAACATGCATAAGGGCTATACATGCACGAGCAATATCTGCACTGAGAAGCGTAGGTGAGCGGATTTCTTCAATATCGAGCTGTAATTCCATTTTTATTACTAGTTCACTTTTTCATCACTCAATCTGAGTGACCAAGCTGACAGAGAGACAATAACAACTCATTACATCACCTGATACAACGCATGAAAGCTCCACGAGAACACTAAAGAAGTCTGATGTCACGGCGGTCCGTAGGGGGGGTAGTAATGAACCAACAATCTAGCAGTCTTCATATACCTCTCAAGTTAAAGGTTACCATTGCCAATAAAAATGGTTCCCAGTAGCCCTAAACCAAAGCTTCTTGTCTGTCCAAACACTACTTCCTAAAGGTCAAGGTTCAAAGTGTCATGCTTTAGTTTCTGTGTATGTACAAGTTATTGATCTACTGCCTTTTGTGAAAATGTTATTTTCTTGTGGTCAGCACTACGTCTGTTATCACTGCTTTTTAATCCTTTTTTTTTATCAATTAAGAAGAAAGGGCTTGAGGGCGAACACATTTTGGCTTGTTAAAACCTCTATGAATATTCATTATATATTAAAGTGTAATATATCTTAAGGCATAATTAATGCACAATGTCATGGGAATACTCTGTAGCTATAGAATATGTAATTCATAATTTAGTACATTTAAATGAGTGATTATAAGGTAGCAAAGTAAATCAATTCTTCTAGACCATAGATTGTATATATGGCTGGAGGAGCACTTCCATGCACTGTCCAGAGATGAAGCTAAAATATCCCACAAACAAACGCTGCCATCTTGTGCCAATGACATCAGTTTGATCCATGTCCCATCTGTTAACAAGGAGGAGGAAGGATTATGATCTATACTGCAGTCGTCCTTCTTAATATTTAGTCTGCGCTCTAAACTCCAGATGTTATTCTGCTCATAACTCATAATCTAGCTACCTTTTAGCAGGACTAGTTTAGCTAGTTGTTTCATGTTATTATTTTAATAAATTATAATGTATTAAACTAAATACAAACGTTAACTATTTTCCAGTTCATGCTTGTTATATTTTTCATATTCTTTCACAAATACATTCATTAAGTGTATCATTTTTTATTTGGTTAAAATCTCAAGACATCTGCTTTTGACCAAATACTTAGTTATTACTTAGTTACTGCGTTTTGGCTTCGTATGGAAGAGCAACGCTATCGAACACTGCCTCAGTTTATAAGATGTGTCCTTTGTTCACTTGGACGGCAAGAGGATTATTGAATATGAATAGGCTGAATATGCCTTGTCACTTCCTGACATAGCTCTGCACAGACTGTTAATGTCATGCATGACGAACAGCAAGTCTTGGCTACCACCTATTAATGGAACATTTTACTTCCTATGATACACCAATTACACACATCACTGACTGTGAGGGGTTACCACTGGACCACGGTTTGAAAATGGCTGCTACATGCGTCGAGACACGGCAGCACAGCACGCAGAAAGCCATTCAGTACCAGACCCGGGGGTTGCAATATCCTTCGAAAGAGTTCATGTCAACCTATGAATGTGTCGCAGGGTTTTATCTGTTGAGATGGCTATATGTTGTTTCCACTTTTGAATACAAAGAGTAAGTGATAAGGAAAGCCCAGAGATAAGAGCCAGTGTTTGTTTGTGTGTGTATTTTTGTATTTGTGTGTGTGGCTGGTGAATTGGTGGGTTTGTTGCTCAGAGATAAGAGCGTGATGGAAACCACTCAACCTCACAGCTAAATCTGACAGATATGGTGTCATTGTGAGCAAATGGAAGTACGCACAAACATATACAGACACACACAGACACACACACACACACACACCTCAAACATTACATCAGCTCCAAACAGACTTGAAACAGCTCTACAATGCGGTTGTTGCCATTACCCACCTTTGACTGAATAACGCCTGTATCTCCCACTGAATAGCCTCACAATAGACCACGAGACAATAAGCCGCCAAGGAGAGAAAGCCCTCGGTCTATTCAACACCGATCGACCTCGTCTAACCCCGAGGAGACATGGCACTCAACGCCACCGGCAAGCTGTCGTCATCCACAATTGCCAAGATCTTGATTTCTCTGAATTTCAGCTCAATGCAAGTAGGATTGTTTCTTACATTCATAGCATATTGTGATGAGTGAGGAAGCGCAGGTGGCATGCTTCAATAATCTGCCAAATCTCATCTCTCTTCCTCCTTCAGCCGCATTGAGATGATTCAGGAGGCCAATCTCGTGTGGCAGGGGCTTGCTGTCATAAATGTCTCATTTCAATAATAAAAGTCTGTGACACACAATATCACCCTGGTGCAACGGAGCCAAAGGAGATGATAGTTTCATAAATTTGAGTGGCAGGCTGTGCAACTGGTGGGCCATGCTCGGTCAGCTGAATCCCATTGACCCTTGCCTTTGTGTGGGATGAGAAAACCACAATGTTGTTGATGCATGTGTGACAAGCAACCATGGAAGGCTAACAAAACAGAATGGAGGCGGTTGAAATAAACACAACTACATTCTAGTTTTCAAAGTCTTGTCTCTTCAAAACATCACATAGTAAATTGGCATTGCCTCCAATTGTTAAGAGGAAATTATTAATTAAGTTAGCCACAGTTGCTAATCCAGGGAAGCTAGTTTGTGTTTACCAGTATATTTAGAAAGTTTAGGCTTGTGCTGACATGTTGCTTTGCTGGGGTTTGAGTTTCTTGACCCTGTTCAACCAATGTGCTGCTCACATGACCTCAATTTCCTGACTGTGTGGTAGGGGGACAGGAGCTCTGAGATGTAGAATGGGGGGGGGGCCATTTAGTGCCTTGTACACCAACATCACTTACTGTACAGTTACAACATCTGCCATTTCAAAAGAAATAGAATCCCACAGTTTTAATATGTGGCTGAAAGTGGCTAAAAATACACAATATAATTTACTATAATTACAGCCAATTTCAA